TCGAGCGGTCGGTGCAAGCGTTGCAACGAAGCAGAAGCAGCGCCGCCCGCGCGCCCCCTGGCCGCCGGAGCCCTGGCGGCGCACGTTGAGAGGCAGGGTCGCCCGGGGCCGCGTCCTCCCCCCAGCCCTCCGCCTGCTGGCTTCGGCGCAAGCGTCGCAGTGCGCCCGCGGCCTCCGCGGGGCCGCCACCAGGCCGGCGGCCGAGGCCAGGGGGCGCGGCCGGGGCAGCGGCGCCGGAGCAACTGCACGCAACGTTGCGCCCCGGCGACGCAGGCGGCGATCCGGCGGCGGGTTGGCGAGCGCGAGGCGCGGTCGAGGCCGTCGTCGACGTTGTTTCGCGCGCAAACCAGTAGGCCGCGCCCAGCGATGGGCCTCGGCGCGCCCTCGACGGCGCCGCGGTAACGAGCGCGCCTGAACGACGGCGCTTCGCCACGACGGCGCGCCTGGACGCGGAGCTTGGCAGTTGTCCGCGGCCGGCGCCGTGCTGGGCATCCGCAGCGCGTTGGCGGTTACACTTCTCCAGTGCGCCCTTGGGCGGGAATCCCCTTTTCCCATCAGCGCGGAGGACCTCCAGATCGCCGGCGCGCCGTTCCGCGCGAGCGACACATTCGCAAATTGCTGCGGGCGCCGGCGCACGACATCCGAGCTATCAAAGGCGTCGACGGCAGCCTTCGGCGATCGATCCGCGATGCGCGCGCGATTGGGCATCGCGAAGAAGTGCCCGGCGAACCCGAGTCAAGCGCTTCGCACAGCACGCCCGCCAGTCCAGAGTCGTCGAAGCGAGCATCTCGGGCCCGGCGGCCGCGCCAGTCAGAAGGGGCGCCGCAATGCCCATGTGTTTCGGGCATGCGTTTCTGTTGCGCCCACCAAGCGATGGCTCGGAATTCAACGAGCAGCACGGGACGTCTGTGCGCCTCTCAGAAGAGGCGTTAGGTTTGCGTTCGCAGCGGCGCAAGACTTCGGAACGACCCGTTACAATTTGGCGCGAGCGTTGGCGCCGCACTGAGGGCGGCAAAGGCACGTGCCCAGCGCACGTCGTCGGTGCATTCTTCGAGAAAGCTGGCGTTGCCACGCAAGCCTTCGCGCCCCTCCCCCGCCGACGCCGCGGCCGCCATTCGGATTGCGGCCAGGGCGGCGGGCGTAGCGCGCCCACGAGAATTCGACGCAAAGGCGCCACGTCGCGGGCACGCGCTCGACTTAGTGGAGCGCGGGGCCAGACCGGCCGAAATACTTCGCGCGGGCGGCTGGCGCAGCGCTGCCTTCATAGAGCATCTGCCAGCTGAATCGCTCGAGCAGGGCGCCGCTCTCGAGGCCGGAGTCACTTGCTCTTCCGACAGCGATGCGCGAAAAAAATGCCCGGGCCCCACGCCGGGTGGAGCGCGCGCGCTCGCTCTCCGGCGGCGCGCGGCGCAGTGGGTCTGCGCCCGCGCGCACGCGACGCGCGCGGCTGGGCCCCCGTCGAGCGCCCGGCGCCCCGAGACAGCGGGCGTTCGCACTGGGTGCTCGGCTAGGCCAGCGACGCAGGCTGCGCCCGAGCCACCGTCGGCTCGGGGCACCGCCGCGCACGGCCCTGGTCGAGCACCGCACCCATCGCCGCGGTGCGACTCGCCGAGCCGCTCGGCGTCCGCGCCATGGTTGCGCGGCGGGCGGTCGTCGCGCAACGTTGATCGCGGGCGCGAAACAGCGGGGCGGGCGCCCCCCCACCCAAGCCCCCACGCACGGGCGAAAAGGAAAAGGGGGGCGCCGCGCGGCGCGCAGCGGCGCGGGGCAACGCATGCCAAAGCGATGGGCGCGAGGCGTCGCGCAATCCGCCCTGATTGCATGGGCGAGCGCGCGAGGGGGCGCGCGCGCCGCCCGGGGTTGGGAGGGGCGCCGCGCGCGACGGGTTGGGGGGGGGCCCGCCACGCGCGGCGAGGAGGCACCTGCGGCGCGGCTTTTGCCCGCCCACCGCCCCGCCACGCGCGGCGAGGAGGCACCTGCGGCGCGGCTTTTGCCCGCCCACCGCCCCCCTGGTGGCCATTCGGCTCGGGGCGCTCGCACTGGGCGCTCGGCTAGGCCAGCGACGCAGGCGGCGCCCGAGCCACCGTCGGCTCGGGGCACCGCCGCGCGCGGCCACGGTCGAGCGCCGCACCCATCGTCGCGGCGCGACTCGCCGAGCCGCTTGGCGTCCGCACCAGAGTTTTGCGCTGGATGTCCGAATCGGTTTGAACCCAATGCATCGACGGACCCCTGCCCCCCCTATCGCCTAGGGGGCATTCACGACGAAAACGTCGTGTACTATGGCAGATATCGCATTCCAGGGTTTTCCCATTGGCGTCCTTCGGGCTACCCCGGCGCCCCTCACCCTTCCCTCAGGTGCGCCCACGGCCTCTGCCTGTCCCCTAGAAAATTCCTTCGCGCTGTGGCCCCGCAAGGGAGGCTAAAAAAAATCCCACAGACCTCTGCCATGTAATCGCCGTCGTGCGCCTTGACCATCACCCCTACCCTTGCCTGGCCTAAATGCCCGTCGGGCCGCGCGACGTACCTTACAAACTGGTTGCTTGATAAAGCGTCTCCATCGGCGTCTGTGCTTCTTGTATCCTAGGAATAACCACTGCGCCGGTTGCTCTTCAGTGAGATACACAGACATGTCGGAGTAATCCAGGGCACAAATCCCCTCATCTGATGAGGTGCCGGTGTCACTTCCAGAGTCAAATCCAGACTCGGCGGGTTGCCCCGCAGAGCCTACAAGGGTAGTGGCTTGGGCAGGGGCCGCCGTTGCCGACGGCCCCTGATAGCGAGCCCAGGAATCTTGAGGCCCCGTAGGCTGGCCACCTTGTTGGCTTAATAAGGTGGTGGTCTCACTTGGTTGTGGATCGTCGTTCCAGACGTTGTTAGCAGGTTGCCCTGCGTAAGTGTTGGTATGAAAGGTTTCGGCACGATGACCGCGGCTTAATATACCACCAGTGTTGCCAAGGGTTCGCTCGGCAATGTGGGGCATAAGACCTGATGCGATCGAATAGAAAGTCAAGCTGTTGCTGGGTCCTTGGCATGTGGTGGCTTAGTGTTGTAGTAGTTGCTGCGCACGCGATGCACCAACACCCAGAGCTATCTGGAATTGGGAACATTGAAGCCTGTAGTCTCGGCCTCAAGGCATGCGATCTCGAAGCGTGCGAACGCATGGTCGATCCGATCTCCCGCATGGACGCGAAAATCGATGAGAGCCGTTCCCGAATTACGTTGGCGTTCCTTCTCTAGATGTTCGAATTTCGTGCTGAGGAGGAACATGATGTAGGAGACGCCGTCGGTGTGGCGACCACCGATATTCACGCTAAAGTTAATGATTGCGGAAGGTACTATCACGGCGATGGTCCTTGAGAGCCCTCCAAGACCACGCTGTAATGATGTTTGTTTCTTCATCGGGGTCACGTCGCCTGTAGCCACGTTGATCCAGGCGTGTACCTCGCGAGCGAGGACGCGGAAAGATACGTTACCGGTAGGGTCACAGTGGGGGCCGGCAGTACACGCGTCGGCTCCGCCACGCTGCACGTGCCCAACAGCGCACCCGATAGCGACACATAGCAAGCCAAATAAGGCAATACAAATCCAATGGCCCCTTAGGTCGCGGTCGGATGTTTGCGGCTGCGGGTTGTGATGTCGTTAGCCTGCGTGGGGGTTGAGGCGGCACAATATCGCATCGCATGTTGCCATGCATCGTGTCTTCAAAAAACTTGCCAATTTGAGTAGAAAGGTGGACTTCAGGAGGTTAGTAGCGCAGAGAGGTAGGACTCATGTAAGAAGCCTCCGCGAGAACGGAAGTAGCACTGCAAGTGTCCTTGCGGCTGTGCGAAGATATGTACATTCCTCCGCACTGACCCACTGAATCCTGATGTTCCACCATGTCAATAGTCCACCAGATATTTCCGCGGATGGTGAGGAGTAGAGTTAGGCCTGACCACCATAGGCCAGCTCCGCTACCAAGTTTGAAGGGGGCTGGGAGGCCCAACCATACGCTTCACCTAAAGCGAAGCCCATATCCAACTCTGTTGTACCGTAGTAAAGATAGTCTCAGAAGTAGGAGATCGTCGCGGGAGGGACGGGCCATGTCAAGCGAAGATGCTTTTGGTCTCAATGGCAAGTAGTGTCCCTCACGATGAGGCGCAGTCATATGTTGGCGGCCGGCCGCTTGAGCACAAACGGCCGGTTGACAAACGATCGCTATCTCTCGCATTTGCCCCAATCTCCTTCAGTGTGTGAGACCCTTGCCGCTCTTCAAACCCCCACCCCTGGGAAGCCAAGGCATGGGGCGCACAGAAGGGGCGGGGGAATGACCGGACGCGGTGCTGGAACGGTCTGGATGTCCCAAGAGCGTCCAATTGGCTACAAGATGTTGCCAAAATGGCCCGCAATGGCTTTCAAAATCGCGCAGAATGGTCAGACAGGGTTCCTGATGGCATCTAGCGTGCGTGCAAGAGGATCCAACAAGATCGCAAGAACCGCTAGGTGGCCAGGAAGCACCCGAACGGAATGCCCCCAAGCGGCCAACATCGCTCAAAAAGCTGAAATTGTATTCAATGAGTATGCCTCTCTGGCTCTCCTGCGTAAAATGCCTCCTTGAGCGCAACCGAAGACCCCAAGACGGCCCGAGAACGCCCCGCGGCGGGCCAAGAAGACCCCGAGAGAGCCACAAGACAACAAGACGGCCTCCAGAGAGGCCCAAGAGGGCCCAGTGCAGCCCTAAGACGACCTGGGAGGGCGCCAAGACCGCTCAAGGAAGACCCAAAAATACTTCAAGACGCGCCCAGACAACCGAAGAGAACCCAAGAAGCCCCCAAGAGAGCCCAATTCCCCACCCACCCACCCACCCACCCAAAGAAACGCCCCTCAAGAGGGTCCGTTTTGAGCACGGTTCCACATGAACGCAATGCACCGAGAGGCTTCTATGACAACGCACCCCAGACGGGAGGCATCCAGTGCACCCAAGGGGTCGGCGGTGTGGCGTGCGCATCTGGATCTTGCGCAGGTCGCAGTTGAGCTGCCCCGGGAAGCGCAGGCACGTGGTCACGCCGCTGATCGCCGCGCTCACCAGGTGGTTGAGGTCCCCGTAGGTCGGAGTGGTCAGCTTCAACGTGCGGAAGCAAATGTCGTACAGCGCCTGCCGAGGAGTATTTGGGGTGTAGCAAGCCAGAGATCTCGAAACTCTCTGACCTCAGTATATGCCTAGGCCCGCGCCGGTGGCTTGTTTGATGGCGCAAGCCTAAAGCCATGTGTCTGCGGTCTCCACTTTTCTCCTCTGCCTCTCCTCGTCCTGCTCCTCTCTCCTCGTCCTCCTCCTCCTCCGAGTAGTTGCGCAAACCGATAAGAAACGTCAAAACAAATCCACCGCAACGCAGGAGGGTGAGTGAGAAGACAAGGAAGAAGACAGCAGGAGGCGGCAGAGAGGGAGAAAAGCAGGAGGAATAAGGAGGAGGAATGGAGTGGGAGGAAGAGGAGAAGAACGGTAATGGGGATAAGGGCCTCTTTCAACTTCTGCAAACGCATCTCACTTGCTCTCTCTCTCTCTCTCTCTCTCGTTCTCTCTTTTTCCCCACATGTATAGACATATCGCTCGTACCTTGTCATAGATGTAGAGATATAGATGTGCATACCCATGAGCGGTATCAACGTGATTGCTCGATGAATGTAGATAGTGTGCCGTCCTTCTGCCGATGCATCTATACATATTTATGTGTATATATGGATAAAAATTCAGATACACAAGCACAACTATATCATGAATGCCATCTCTTCTCGTGTATGTATTCATTACGCCCAGTATGAGTTCTCTCACATCGATGGCTTCATATGTATGTGTATACACATGCAGATAGATGTGTATACTAGAAGCACGGGCGCGCTTCGCGAGCACGTAGATTCCAGCCAGCGTTGCGCCACATTGTGTGGCCATCGTCTTCGCTCGTCGGATGAGCCACATTTGGTGGCCACTGTGCGAGCTCGCGCTTATGCGCAGGACTGCCACAGCGAGGTAGCATCATTCGCACTGTCAGTTGGAAGGAGAAGGTGGAAACATGATGCATGAAGTAGGACGGCGTTCAACGTAGACAAGGCTTCGGCCCACCGATTCGCGATGCGTTTGACGGCGTAACCCTTCGGTTACTGACCATATGAGAACGCTGAAAAACTATGTTGAATTCTGGGGCTCAAGAATATGTACGCTCCGCGACGGGCGAAACCGTCACCACCGTTATCACCATCAAAAGCCCTCTGTGCCATCTGCACTTGCAGGGGGACACCTATGGCAACGTGACGCCCGTAACAGACCCCCCAGCGCCCCACTCAGAATGTGTAAGCCGACCGCTCGAACAAGAAAGCCGGAGGAGTCGTCTCCCGTCCTCCTGCAACTACTCCACTTCCCTGGTCCCATCTTCTTTGAATTCTAAAATTATCAAGGGAGCCTCGTTGCGTCTAAGACCCGTGGGAGGCAATTCACGACAAAGAAGAGAAGGCCGGATGGATGCACTGGCAGTTGCAATAACGTGCAGTTTTGCAAGGCGCAGGCCACTCCCCTTACGGGGACCGTGCCCAGCAAGTAACTACATTTACGACATCAGAAAGAAGCTTCATAGCGTCGCCTGGCTTACTTTGGCACACCTCTCATACGGATCGTGGCTCGCAGGAGTTCAACGCACGGTCCCAGAGGCAAATTTCGCATTCCGCCCCCCCGCCTACTTCGGCACACCTCTCGCACGGATCGTGGCCAACAGGTAATGTCCCCAGAAGCAGGGTGGTTCGCATTGCGTGCCCCGTCCATTGCGGCACACCCCATCACGCGGATCGCGCACACAAGGAACACAACTTAAAGGCCCAGAGACAAGGTTCGCAAAAGGCCCCCGCAAACGTAGACACACCTGTCACACGAATCATGTCCCAGAAGGATCTCCACCTATGGCACCAATGGGCAGCTTTGCATGGCCAGTAGGACATGCAGCGCGCCTCGTTGTCCAACAGGAAGCACTCGTCCGCGTTCTCCACCAGCTGGTGGAAAGACAAGACCGCGTTGTACGGCTCCACGACAGTGTCGCTGACTTTCGGACTGGGGATGACCCGCGGGACCAATGAGCCAACGGCGCGTCAGATCCGAGCTGGAAGTGCAACGGGGAAGAAAAAAGTCTGTGTATATTGTTTCTCGATATACAGCCCGCTCGCCGCGTCGCCGCAGCGCGCGGTCAGACATTCGAGAGCGCGTACTGAATCTCGAACACAAGAAACCCCATCCCCAGGTTTCCAAATCCACCCCCAGCGCCAGACCGATCTCAACGAGGAACACCCTGTCAAGTAGCCCCACCAAGTCCACTGTCGAACGCAAGAAGCCCCATCCCCAGTTCTCAATTTCGCTGAAGGCACATCCATGTCACACCGACTCCTCCTCCTCCTCCTCCTCCTCCTTCCTCCTACTCCTCCTCCTACTCCTCCTCGTCCTCGTCCTCGTCCTCCTCCTCCTCGTCCTCGTCTCCCTCTCCCTCCCTGCCCCTCCTCCCCCCTTCTACGCTAGCCCGACTTTGACAGCAGGGTCGCGGTGTCCCCGCGCGACAAAACAAGCGAGCGGCGTGAAGCACGGAGAAGCCGGGCAGAGGGAGAGAGGGAGCGAGGCAGCAGGTGAAGGAAGAGAGGAGAAGCTCACATGGGCGTGAAGTGACAGCGCTGCGATTCGGCCTCCTCCCTCTCCTCCCTTTCTTCTGGAGGCCACCCAAATGGGGTCGGGGCTGATGGGTGGGACGACCGCGCCGCATCGTCGACGCTCCGGCGACATCGGGGAGGAGGGAGGAGGGCTCTGGATAGCGCTGCCTCGCCGATGCATCGGCGATGCGGCGCCATCCTCCGACCAATCTGCTTCGACCCCATTTGCGCGGCTCTGGAACCTCCGCCGCCTCGTCCTTCGCCTCCTCTTCGGCTGTCCACCCCGTTCTCCTCCTCCTGCTCCTGGTTTTGCTCCTGCTCCTGCTCCTGCTTCTCCTCCTCCTCCTCCTCCTCCTCATCCTCCTTATCTTCCTCGTCGTCATCATCGTAATCAGCAGCATCATCATCATAATCCTCATCATCATCATCATCATCATCATCATCATCATCATCAGCAGCAGCAGCAGCAGCAGCAGCATCATAAGAATCATCATCATCATCATCATCATCATCAGCATCATCATCGTCATCATCATCAGCAGCACCATCATAATCATCATCATCATCAGCATCATCATCATAATCATCATCATCATCATCATCATCATCATCATCATCATGATCATGATCATCATCGTCATCATCATCATCATAATAATGATAATATTAATAATAATAATCGTCAGCATCATTGTCATATGCTGCTTCCTCATCATCAGCATCATCATCGTCATCGTCATCGTCATCGGCATTGGCATCGTCATTGTCATCGTCGTCATCACCATCATTATCAGCATAATCATCATCATCATCATCATCATCATCATCATCATCATCATCGTCATCGTCATCATCGTCATCGTCATCGCCATCGTCATCATCATCATCATCA